TTAAAATTTTTAGTTTTGTAAGTTATCAATTGAATATTCATCAAGAGATCACATTGTTTCAAAGTTATAGATCAATCTCTTACGACCTGTACGGAGTGTCTAGGTCAAGGATGTTTATCGACCGACCAATCAGATCGATGCTAACAAAAACTTTTGATTATCAGAATTTTGCAAAGCAATCAAGAATTACAATGCTTTCCTCTCTGTTCAAAAGATCCTTTTCTCATTCAAATGAATTTTTGATACGAGGTGATTCTTATGCCATCGGTTTCTTCATTCGCTCTTTATCAACCAGTCCCAAGAGCTCTGCCAAGCAAGCCCTGAAAAAACGTTCGACGCAAAGAACGTCTTTGTTAACAAAAAAACCGGCAAAAAGAGCAAATTCCCTTCGAGGATCGTCGCTCGCTAAAAACCATCCGCCTGGAAATCGTCCGACGGCTCCCAAGCAAGTATCAAAGAAAACACGAGGCTTCATTCCCGCAAAATTCAGATTGCTTCCAATCGAAAGTGATGTTAGACTTGGAACGGTAGGGAGGAAAGGTCACAAAGAATCAGCTGATCTTCAAAATTCAATTGGTGTCAAAAGTGGAAGATCAACTACGCAAACAATCAAAGATATGACTCGAGAGGAACAAATGAAACTTTCGCGTGTGAAAAAAAAACACGCAAGCTGCGAAGATTTTCGATTGGAAGATTATACGTTCGAATCATTCGGCCTACTACCAGAAGTTTACGAGGCAATAAAACAAGGACCGCTGAAAGGAACTCATCCATTTATGCCCACGGAAATTCAAGCGTTAACTATTCCCGAGATATTAAGATCTGACAATAGACACATCTTGTGTGCAGCCGAAACTGGAACCGGCAAGACCTTGGCCTACTTGGTGCCCATAATAAACAAACTAAAAGAGGAGGAGGAGACGAAAGTAGATGTAGGTTCGGAGAATATGGATAAAGGCATTCCATCGGTTGCTGACGTGCTTCAGAAGGAATTGGAAGAAGAAAAGCAACTCAGAGCCATGACAAAATCGACGATCCGAAATTTCAATCGTCCCCGAGCGGTTGTCCTTTTACCATCGCGGGAGCTAGTTGTACAGGTCCTGTCCGTGGCAAAACATCTGTCGCACCTCGCAAAATTTCGGGCGATCGCGGTAACTTCACATATGGACCGAAGTTTTGTCAAGAAAACCTTACAGATGCCAGTTGACATAGTGGTGGCGACACCAAAAGGGCTTCTGGACTACGTGAGTAGCAAGCTGGTTAACTTGACCGACACCAAATACCTTGTGATTGACGAGGCGGATACAATGTTTGGCAAAGGGTTTGGGGAGGAAGTCGAGGAGGTAATTATGAAGGTGAAGGACCATGGTCACAGGCAAAGTAGATCGTGTCAAGTGATCGTCGTGTCAGCAACTTTGCCAAAGGCCGTCAACGAAATGTTGACCAAAGAGTTTCCATTCATGAAAAGAATCACAAGTCATTCACTCCATAAAGCATTACCAAATCTCCGGCACGACTTTATCGATATGAAGGATTACAATTTTAACAAGAGCGCCGCCGTTCTGGATGTTTTGAAGAGAACCCACAACCCAAATGCTAGCACCATGATATTCTGCAATACACGGGTTAGCGCGATGGCACTTGAAAGTTTTCTGAAATCCAAGAATCTTCCGGTGATTGGGTTGTTCGGTGACATCGACGAACGAACCACGAAACTTGAGGCGTTTCGTAACCAAAATCCCGATGTCAGGATACTGGTGTGCACAGATTTGGTCTCGAGAGGTGTTGACACCACGTTCGTAGAACACGTGATCCTATACGACTTTCCTACAACGGCGGTGGACTTTTTGCACCGAGTGGGTAGAACGGCTAGAGCCGGTAAAGGTGGAAGGGCCACATATCTCATTACCAAGAAGAATGCAACACTGGCGAATAGGATCAAGAGAAACATCAGGGACAGACGAGTGTTGTCGTAAGTTCTTCATCTTCCGAAGGCAAAACGTACAAAAAACAAATACGACGATCCTGAAGATTTCGGATAATCCATGTGGCAAACAGAGTAACACTGCGGAAAAAACTTAAAATTCCTCAAATGGGCAGGTGGTTAAAGTACCATTTGTCATATAGTATCGTATCATGATAGGGAAAATTTAATAATGAGGAGCTGAATATACAATGGTGGGCGTAAAGTGCAGAGAGGGAAAAGCGGTTAAGGTAGTAGTAGTACCATTATTTACGCGTGTATGTGGTTGTCAACCTTTTTCAGTGACACATTTTTCCGAAAAGTAAAATTTCGAATTTATAATCATTTGTTTTTGTTTAGAAGATGTGTGAGATAAAGGTTGAATGATTGTCGCTTATGGTATCCGGGTCAATGGTCGACCGATATTTTCAATGTGGAAAATCCATTAAGGAGCATATAAAAGGCAAATGTCGAACAAAAACGTGGCCAATTACTGGACCATGTGGAAAATCGCGTGATATCAATCAAGAGAGCGAGGTTTACATTTGTAGATTTCAGATGATGGTACGTACGTATCTTGATACCACGCACACGGATTGAAAGTTGTAAAATTTAAAGCCAAAAGAAGGTTTCATACAACATTTTTGGTGAGACGATTTTGAGCACATCATGCATTGTGTGCAATGATCGATAGATTTTGTGTTAATATTGATGTTTGCACATAATCACTTGACTTGCTTTGTGCACATCATCCCTACATTTGAATCATGGGTAGGGAGAGTGAAAGTAAAAAAAAAAAAAAAAACCAAGGATGCATGGAAGACAAGCGAGAAAAATAAGTTATGCACAACGCGTCAAAAAGAACGCTCGAAAATCAAATTAGGTGAACGCTGGAATTTTGGATTTGTTCGGGAAAAGAATGCAAACTGCGTTCGCGAACTTACATACATGTACATACAGTATGTACTTATAAGTGATATGGATATCATACAGTATGTCTTGGGATTTAGGTTCGATGCATGTTGCGTACTCACTTATTTCGTAGGGATTGGTGAATAATGAGTGATGCAAGTGTGTGTAATGTAAATAAAATTTGAACTAAAGGTTTTGGCGCGAAGTTTACATATTCGGATATAATCGATGTTCATATTCTATACACAACGTCGGAAATATAATTAAAAGGATACAATTATACTGTATGTGTACGCATACATTATCAGGAAAGTTTAAATCTGCCATAATTGGTGGCATGTATTATCAATCAAAATAGATTGTAGATCGTATAACTTGGCGATATGATAAGGTACGAGGATGTTTTGCGAACAAAGAAACTCGCTGAACGTTTACATTTCTATCAGCATTTTCATCTCGCATTCAATGGAGAATAATGCGTAATGAACATTATCTGAGTGATAAGTAATCATGAATTTTTCCGGATGTGGACTTGCTTTAGCCATAACGCTTCCGATAAGACCTTCAGTGCATACATTGTTTCGAGTACATGGCGGTAAACAATTCACGTCAAATTCACGCAAAAATTCGTACAACTGATGAAATCGAAGGAATCGTAAATTTCGAGGAAGATCAACGACAACAGTCAAGTCTACACTATTCAAATTCAATATTCGTGAGTCGTGACACGAGCAACTATTTTCTTGCGAATCTGTATCACGCACAGTAAACGAGAAGACCAAACATACGCTGTATGACTGTGGGAGATAACTTATCTTATTTTCGTATAGTCATCTCTCATCTAAAATTTCCTGGAAATCAAACACGCTAAATCACTAACTGTTAATGGGAGAGCTAGCTGACCAGTGAATGTGTCAGCACCAAATTTAATAAAAGTAATGAGATTTCTTATCGAAATCGATCCATATGATTCCTACAAACATCGTTTTTTGATGTTTCAAAGTAAATATTTGTTCATTCAAGGTAATTTTAATTTGCAATGTAAATATTTGTTCGTTTTAGGATCACAAGTTTTTTCAAAAATTACTCGAGTGCACTTCGTCAAATTTCACGTGACCTTGAGTCAACAGTATCTCCGAGGATCAAACAATACCATCTCGTATTTGTCGTGTATCGTTTGTTATCACCCATCATTGATCCTATTGGTGTTTTTTTTACCCGATAAACCCACTTTGCGTACATGCGTAATCAATCGATATACTTTTTTTTAAACAAACGAATGCACGAATATACTGTACATACATACATGTCTTCAGCTGTATGCATTCTTATCATCAATATCCTCTCATCACATCAACGCCTATTGAAAATTCTTCCTATCTATATTCCTTACAGAAACAAAATACATTTAGAACTACCTTCGACGCTGTCCATTTTCGATTGTTGACCATATACGATTGAATCAATTTTCGACACACCGTCGATCAAAGTTTATTGCGTGGAAATTTTTACACTGATTCCTGTTGTGTATTTCGGAGTGCACATTGGTGTGGTAAAAGGACCCTGAATTTCGTTTGGCATTGTGTAAAATCCTCAATCGTTAATTAAAATTGGAAACCAATTTCTTTAAATTTCTGCAAAACATATGCGTTGTGTTACAACCTGTGAACGCCAAAAGTGAGCATGGGTTTCGATTGCGTGCACCGGATAAGAAAAAAAAATAAATGACTTATATTGCATTTTTTATTACATGACCCAGATTCTCTTGTGCCACATTGTAATTGGTATCTGAATTGGGTTTCGTGGGACCATCAACTTTTTCGTACCCTAATTCTACTTTACACATTGCACCGATGTAGATGGTAACAATTGATGTTGTTGGTTGGTTCATGTAACTATGTTGACATGCGTGAATTTTTAATGTATCAATATGCATCTTCTCATATGTCCGGTCAAGATTTTCTGATCGACGGCTTTATCGCTAATTCATGGATGACACAAGCTTTTATTCGCTCGTGTACACGAATATTATTACACTTGTATACGAATATTCTTACGCTCATATTTTTAACGCATTCATTCACCTTCGTTCACTCTATTGATTGTATGAGACGAATCACCTTTTGGTAATGTTGAATCGATTTCTCGCGCACGCAGAACGAATTGATACCGTTGCTCATTCACGGTCCTGCCCTCGATGCCCACTTATCGCACCCACGCTGCATTCCGTTAGATACCGAAATTTGCATTGAAACTTATAGAACCCTCAAAATTCGTGTGACACGTTTTGTGACACGTGTTATCAATTATAATGTTCGGCGATGACCCGGGAAATTGGTTTTTCTTCTTTAGCAACTAATAAGGTATCGATTCTGCACGAATTTCTATATATGTGATGCATCCTATTTACACTTGTGTCTTATAAAATTTCCCTCCTTTTCCTTTATCTTTCCCCCCCCCCCCCCCTAAAGACTGTACATTGTTTTTTTTTTTTTTTTTCTGCATCGATTTTCTGATAGACACCGACAAAAGTGGAATTGCAATTCTATATAGAAATAAAGTTTGCCCCCCTCCCCTTTTTCCCTCCCATCCCGTTTATTCCTCTTGCGAAACATTTCAGTCGGTGATAAGAAAGGTAGCATAAAAACAAAACAAAACAAATTATTACCACTGCATAGAATAAATCTATTACACAACTTTGATTATACTTTCAGAGTAATTTGTTCCTGGTAATACAAGATTTGTGTTAAGTTTTATCAAGACACGATATAAGACACCCATTCCCTTTGCCTTTGGAGAAAAAAAATATTTTTTATTTTTTCCTTTACTTACACACTCCAGGTTTTTGAATCAACACGCGACAATTTCATCGTAATCATCCTTCGTTCTCTTCCTCCCCACTCCCCTTCATTTTTTTTTAATAGAATCACATAGATTAGTCTCCTCTTTCTTAAAGCTCATCATATCCTTTCATTGATAAATTCACGACTGCGTCGGAACGAAAAAAAAAGAAATCAAAGAATCACCCTTTAACCAACTTTTACTTCATAACATAACACACATGTCGTCCATCTCGCCGACCAACCAATCGTTCGGAGGAACATTAGTAAAAAATCGATGCCCTTCCAGTACTTACCTGAAAACCCACAAGTATATTACCTTTTCCTATGCTATTGGTTCTACCACCTTTCAGCAAGGTATGCTTGGTGATGCCGACAGTTATTTGGAGGGAACCGTTCACCTGCGATACGAGAAACCTTGTTTTGTGAAAAACGTGATACTTCATTTTCGAGGTTCCGAGAAGACTTCCTGGTACAAAGCTCAAGCGAGAACCAAGGCCGTCTATGCCGGTGAACAGGTATTGGCTGACAAGACCGACAAGATCTGGGATAGCGAACAAGAACACCCTGTTACCATATTGGACATCCCTTTCAAGATTTTGCTTCCCTACAACTTACCAGAAACTGTGAATACCGAGATTGGTCAGGTTAATTATACCCTGCGCGTGGCTGTTTCCAAGAAAGGAAATTTCGGAACCTATTCCACCCAAGTCGCCGAAATACAATGCCCGTTGAAAAGAATATTGTTATTGGATAGTTCGAACGTTTTTCCCTTTAAATTCCGGGGTGAATCGAGAAGTGGAATTGACTACAATTTCATTTTGCCTCCAAACAAAAATTTCAATCTGGGAACCTATGTTACAATCCCGATGAGGATAAGATTCTTGCGCCAAGGTGTTAGCGTTGAGCGAGTTGAAATTGCTCTGAAGACGTGCATGGATTTCAGGTGCGAGAACCCGAATGAAACGCGTCACATCAAGGAAACCTCGACCTCGATGGTAATTCCCCGGCAAGAGATCAAATATGTCCAATCAAATTCTCAGCATTTCGAAGGCGAATGCATTCACACAATTAATCTATTTGTTCCGCGAAGCGTTCAACCAACCTATTCCGGTCGCTTCATAAGCGTCAACCACCAATTCTGCGTAAAGTTTTGCCTGTGGGGGGCGGATAATGATTTCCAGGTGGAAGAAAGCGTCAGGGTTGCAAACATTCACGAGAAATGCGTGGAATCCGCTTCCCTGCCACAACCTCCATCCCCACAGTCGCAAACGCCCACCTCTGCTCGCCAACAGCACAGGCAACCTCCTGCCAGAAACATCACAACTCCTTATCCCAATGTCACTTACGATGACGACAACGAATCTTACATTTCCTCACAAAACTACGACCTCGATCACCGAGGCGCAGATCGTGAATTTTTAAGTTCACATGATCAATACGAAACACAAACATATCAACGAAACAATAAAAGCGGGCCTGGATCGCGTCGTCCGTCACAAGCATCGTCAGCCACCCTGATGATGGAAACTCCTCCGCCATTTCCCTATAACGTGGCATTAGACGGGTATGATCAACTTTTTTCCTCATATGGTTTTAATACTGAAAGTGATGATTTGTGGTTAAGGGAAAAATTACAAGAGTTAGCCATTATTCACCAACATCGTCAACACAACATATATTCACACAATAGTAAAAGCCCAGTATATATAGCTCCCAAATCTCCTCCAATGCAACCTCCTCCACCAACTCCGCCCATTTCCGTGATCAATAATCTGTACAAAGAAATGTCCGGTCATCCTATGAATTCTTCGAAGCTACCTCCTTATGAAAATGCCGCGAATTTGGAAAAAGGTTACCACCCATCCTCAAATATGGAAAAGGAAAGTTCTCAGATATCCGTTGAAAGCGATCTTACCCAGCAACATCCGTCCTTAAATATCGAAAAGGAATCTTCACAGATAGAAAAGGAGCTATCCCCAAGACTACTTCCCACGTTGAACTTGGCTAATTTGCATCACTCGCGACCTTCCACTCCATCCGTAAGGTCTGCAACTCCCAGTCAATATCCAAGGAACGTGACTTCTCCACCTCCCTATCGTGGTCACCCCACCTCCCTTAGGTCTCATCAATATGTTGAAGCCTATACTTGTGATTTTGATTCATGAAGCTTTAAAAGTTATCGATGATTCACATTGGCAATGTCACGTGAACATCCTGGAGTACATACTTATTAGATCACGTAGATTAATATTTAAATATACTTTTTTTTTTCTTTTGTAAAAAAATTTTCATTGTTTGTTCGCATCGCATCACCCGAATTAATAAGGGTGAGGGTTTCAACCTCTGCCACGACCTAACTATTGTAAATAATTGTTACATATTTATTATTAATTTATTTATTTTATTCGTTTTATTTTTTATGCTCATGTATTATTTTTTTGACATTTCGTGTACCATTTTCATTATTAGCACCACATAGATTTCTTTTCTTTTTTTCTTTGATTCTATTGTGCTTAGCGAATATATGTCACAAAAGGATTATCTTATAATATTATGTTGTGCTCGTAATTTATGCGAGTTCTTTTTCTAATTCCCCTGGCTTAAGTAATTAGTATTGTTATGCCTTTCCTCTTTTTCTTAAAAAACGATATATGCAAAAGAAAAAGAATTACACGCGTAAGGTTGACTCTTACGTGACAATGATTTTTTTCCGGGCACTACTTATATCCTAATAAAAAAAACATCAAACTATTTTTAACCTCAACATCTTGTAAAAAGTGAAAGTTTCCACAACGATGTATCTCTCGTTAAAGACAACTAGACGCGCATCCGACGTATTTTCGTGCTTATGACGCGACCACCTACGTCCGCAAAACTGCAAACGCAAAGTCACAAACATTATATTTTTATGAGTCATTAAATTATGCTACATCGATTCTTTCGACCGTTACACAAACTCTATACTTCTTATTTGTTTTTATTTATTTGATAGATAACTAACTAATTAATTAATTAATTATTAATGATTAAATATTGGGAATACGAAGATCTTTAAAAAAAATCTTGATGTGGTTTCTATTTACGCCGATCTTTGAGGAATTCATTCGAATTCGAATTAAAAATTAAAACAAAAAAAAAAAATGAAAATGAAATGTTTTTCTTTTCAAGAGTGTGACACGCCGGAAATTCGTTTTTTTTTCTTGTTGATGCGGATGATTATGACTGGTGCGTTGCAATGTTGCGCAATGTCATAAGAACGAATTCGGTTTGGTTAATTATAAATAAGTTGTCTAAAAGAAAACCAATTGATTATAAGAATGAAACGAACTTTTTTTATTTTATTAAAGCACGATTTTTAACAATCCATATAAATCAAATGTTAGTCAAACCATCTGATCTCTAACAAGTAATAACAAATTTTCCAAAATGCGTGTCAGATCATAAAATTTATTCATGTAACGATATGAGAATTGTTGGTAAAAATTATTGGCGAACCGACATTAGCATAAGCATACTGTATATATTGATTAGTGAAAGAATTTTTGGAAATTTATAAATTCTATTTATATTCATATTATTATTGTTATAAAAAAAAAAATTAATAATACTTAAATTTTATTATTAAATTATATATACTGTATATATGCATTATTAAATGAATAATATCTCTTTATAAAACTACAAGTTAAATACCATTCACCCAATATTAAATTACATTACTTGAGTAACGAAAAAAAACCTTGTATCAATCTTCAACGGTATCATATTGGTGAATAAATTGTTTAAATATGCTGTATATATTTTTTTGTTTTTTTAATGTAGTGCTAGATGAATGGATAAACCATTTCTTTCCAAGTAATGTTATACGAAGGAATAAACTATTTCGATATTTAGGTGCCGCATTAAATGATATTTATATTTACAGCATATTTTATTAAGTTGATGTTTATCGTCATATAGAAAAATAACAAATAAATATAAATTTGGTAAATCGATAAAATGGATTTTTATAAAATACTGATATGAAGAATATCCTGTAATTGATCATTGATTATTATTATTATGGTTTATAACATTTATAGTCATCAAATAAATTTATATAATTTTAAAACTTATCTAATTATTTAATTTAAATAAT